GCACCATGCCGCCGCTGCAGCGGCAGCTGCGCCGGCCTGCCACCGCTGCTGGTGGTGCTGCTGCTGCCGCCGGGGCAGTTGCGGCGTTGCATCCACCTCGCTCGCTTCGAGGCGCAAAAAAGTCCAGATGTTCAATGGCAAGCTTGCTACATACCGTTGACATAAACCTCACTTCTGCAGTACAGTGTCTCAAGTGTCTCATGCTCATTGAGGTCGCAGTAACCAACATCGCCAAGAAGCACATGTCATGCCAGCGCCCCACTTGTTGTACATGAGATGCCATGACCCCGCAGCGCGCCCCTGCCGCACGCTCAGGCGCCAACCCGTACATGAAGGGAGGCCCGCGGGGCGGCGGCGGCACTGCGCGCGGCGGCGATGTGGGCGGTTGGCACAGCGCAGCCCCCCCGCTGAGCCGCGGCGCCTCCAGGGGCGGCATGGGCGCTCCCGTTGCCGCAAGCAGCGCGTTCCTCGCGCAGCGCGCCAATCGCGCGCGCCCCGCCTTCGCCGCTGCCGCACACGGCGGGCCTGTGCCATGCTTCCTGCCTGCCCCCGCCGGTGCGACTGAGATCTCCGACGAGGCCTTGCTGGTGCAGCTGCGAGCAGCAACGCGCGGCGCCTCCGGCGACGGCAGCGGCGGCGGCGGCGGACACGGGGGTGGGGGGGGTCACTGAGGTGGTGTGCAAGTGGGTATAACGTGCGTCACAGTGTTTTTGGTAATGATGTGTGTGTGTTGTGGGGAGTGGGGGGGGGGGGGGGGGGGGGGCTCAAGGTGTGTGTGTGTGTGCGCGCGCGCGCGCGCGCAGGGGGATTGAGGGTGCACCACATTGAATTTAGTCGCCAAGATCTGTCCGGTTAAAATGCTTGAAACAACAGAAACCAGGAGCTTGGAGGCTATTGTTGCGACTGTGGCAGAGACACAGTTTCACCGTTGCGACTGTCTGTTCCATATGAGGCAGCTGATAGCGTAACACCTGTACAAAAGCAGATTACAAGTTCAAGGTTTTTTGTTTGATGTTTCAATAAAAAGTCAAGGCCAAAGCCAAAAGCAGTGTTGACCATATTTCTGGTCTTGTTGCTGCAAGATCTTGAAACCCTAATTGCCATGGTATATGTGCATTTGAAGAAGAGATTAAAATTATGTTTTTCATTTTTAGCCAAAATGTTACAATATATATAAATGTCAATCATTAAATTTTGGGAAGAAAAATAATATTTAAATACATTTTTTATTTTTACTAAACACCAGATAATTTTAAATAATAATAGCGTTTAATAATAGCGAAAACAGGATTTGAGGACATGTTCTTTTTTTCTTGTCATAAATTCAGTAAACCCAACAAAAAGTTTTTCGTATAATAAGATACCAAATTGGCGAATCTATTACGCTAAGTACTACAAAAAAATACAACCAACGTTGTTTATAATTTAAAAGCTAATAATTGTATAATAAAAAAATGGTGATCTTAATTTAACTGTTGTCCAAATAGACTTCAAAAAAGAAATCCAACCGTGGCCATCGTCCAACTGAGCTAAAGATGCATTAAAAGATGCATTATTTGTTTATGTTTTTTTCTTTTAGTAATTTTTGGTAAAGCTTCCCAGCGTCTTATGCTCCACTTTTAATTTACTTCTAGCCGGACTTGAACCAGCACGCAGATGCAAAATATTTTAAATCTTTTGTGTCTACCAATTTCACCTGTTTTTGGTATTGGGATCATGTACAAAAAGGATTACAAAGTGATCTTTTTCCTTTACGTTTGGGCAAGCCAAACGCACGCAATAGAAGGGCCAACACCGGTGTCTGCATTAATTCATTGCAAACATCAAATGAGATGAATACAACATACTACGCACCTCAACGCATGCCGTGGCATTGTTGCTGGAGCGCAGGCCTGGGGCCGCTGTACTGCCTGCAGTTCAAGCAGGTCGTGAAGCGAGTGCACAGGCGCAAGCTGTCAGACCGAGTGAAGTGACTGATTGCACAAGCAGCGCCGCTGCCGCTACAGGCGCCGCACCGAGCCTCGCACCCATCAGCTGCTATGGCGCAGTTGAGAGCGCGTAAGACGAAGATCTTAAGGTCATGACTGGCTCGCAGAGGTCATGGGCTGCGCTTGCCGTGCTACTACACTGCACTGGCAGCTGCAGTAGGTCATGACAGCGGGGGCGTGCAAGCGTGCTACACCACGTACCTCAACTTGAGCGCATGCAGTGCCAGTGCCGCGTCTGAGGCTGCTGTAGGAGTATGTAGTACCTGCAGGCCAACGAAGTCGTGCATGGAGAGCGCAGACGCCGCCCGTCAGAGCGAATGACTGATCGCACGAGCCGCTGCCGCTACAGGCGCCGCACTGAGCCTCGCACCCATCAGCTGCTATGGCGCAGTTGGGAGCGCGTAAGACGAAGATCTTAAGGTCATGACTGGCTCGCAGAGGTCATGGGCTGCGCTTGCCGTGCTACTACACTGCACTGGCAGCTGCAGTAGGTCATGACAGCGGGGGCGTGCAAGCGTGCTACACCACGTACCTCAGCTTGAGCGCATGCAGTGCCAGTGCCGCGTCTGAGGCTGCTGCAGGAGTATGTAGTACCTGCAGGCCAACAAAGTCGTGCATGGAGAGCGCAGACGCCGCCCGTCAGAGCGAGTGACTGATCGCACGAGCCGCTGCCGCTACAGGCGGCGCACCGAGCCTCGCACCCATCAGCTGCTATGGCGCAGTTAGGAGCGCGTAAGACGAAGATCTTAAGGTCATGACTGGCTCGCAGAGGTCATGGGCTGCGCTTGCCGTGCTACTGCACTGCACTGGCAGCTGCAGTAGGTCATGACAGCAGGGGCGTGCAAGCGTGCTACACCACGTACCTCAGCTTGAGCGCATGCAGTGCCAGTGCCGCGTCTGAGGCTGCTGCAGGAGTATGTAGTACCTGCAGGCCAACAAAGTCGTGCATGGAGAGCGCAGACGCCGCCCGTCAGAGCGAGTGACTGATCGCACGAGCCGCTGCCGCTACAGGCGCCACACTGAGCCTCGCACCCATCAGCTGCTATGGCGCAGTTGGGAGCGCGTAAGACGAAGATCTTAAGGTCATGACTGGCTCGCAGAGGTCATGGGCTGCGCTTGCCGTGCTACTGCACTGCACTGGCAGCTGCTGTAGGTCATGACAGCGGGGGCGTGCAAGCGTGCTACACCACGTACCTCAGCTTGAGCGCATGCAGTGCCAGTGCCGCGTCTGAGGCTGCTGCAGGAGTATGTAGTACCTGCAGGCCAACAAAGTCGTGCATGGAGAGCGCAGACGCCGCCCGTCAGAGCGAGTGACTGATCGCACGAGCCGCTGCTGCTACAGGCGCCGCACCGAGCCTCGCACCCATCAGCTGCTATGGCGCAGTTGGGAGCGCGTAAGACGAAGATCTTAAGGTCATGACTGGCTCGCAGAGGTCATGGGCTGCGCTTGCCGTGCTACTGCACTGCACTGGCAGCTGCAGTAGGTCATGACAGCGGGGGCGTGCAAGCGTGCTACACCACGTACCTCAACTTGAGCGCATGCAGTGCCAGTGCCGCGTCTGAGGCTGCTGCAGGAGTATGTAGTACCTGCAGGCCAACAAAGTCGTGCATGGAGAGCGCAGACGCCGCCTGTCAGAGCGAGTGACTGATCGCACGAGCCGCTGCCGCTACAGGCGCCACACTGAGCCTCGCACCCATCAGCTGCTATGGCGCAGTTGGGAGCGCGTAAGACGAAGATCTTAAGGTCATGACTGGCTCGCAGAGGTCATGGGCTGCGCTTGCCGTGCTACTGCACTGCACTGGCAGCTGCTGTAGGTCATGACAGCGGGGGCGTGCAAGCGTGCTACACCACGTACCTCAACTTGAGCGCATGCAGTGCCAGTGCCGCGTCTGAGGCTGCTGCAGGAGTATGTAGTACCTGCAGGCCAACAAAGTTGTGCATGGAGAGCGCAGACGCCGCCCGTCAGAGCGAGTGACTGATCGCACGAGCCGCTGCCGCTACAGGCGCCGCACCGAGCCTCGCACCCATCAGCTGCTATGGCGCAGTTGGGAGCGCGTAAGACGAAGATCTTAAGGTCATGACTGGCTCGCAGAGGTCATGGGCTGCGCTTGCCGTGCTACTGCACTGCACTGGCAGCTGCTGTAGGTCATGACAGCGGGGGCGTGCAAGCGTGCTACACCACGTACCTCAGCTTGAGCGCATGCAGTGCCAGTGCCGCGTCTGAGGCTGCTGCAGGAGTATGTAGTACCTGCAGGCCAACAAAGTCGTGCATGGAGAGCGCAGACGCCGCCCGTCAGAGCGAGTGACTGATCGCACGAGCCGCTGCTGCTACAGGCGCCGCACCGAGCCTCGCACCCATCAGCTGCTATGGCGCAGTTGGGAGCGCGTAAGACGAAGATCTTAAGGTCATGACTGGCTCGCAGAGGTCATGGGCTGCGCTTGCCGTGCTACTGCACTGCACTGGCAGCTGCTGTAGGTCATGACAGCGGGGGCGTGCAAGCGTGCTACACCACGTACCTCAACTTGAGCGCATGCAGTGCCAGTGCCGCGTCTGAGGCTGCTGCAGGAGTATGTAGTACCTGCAGGCCAACAAAGTCGTGCATGGAGAGCGCAGACGCCGCCCGTCAGAGCGAGTGACTGATCGCACGAGCCGCTGCCGCTACAGGCGCCGCACCGAGCCTCGCACCCATCAGCTGCTATGGCGCAGTTGGGAGCGCGTAAGACGAAGATCTTAAGGTCATGACTGGCTCGCAGAGGTCATGGGCTGCGCTTGCCGTGCTACTGCACTGCACTGGCAACTGCTGTAGGTCATGACAGCGGGGGCGTGCAAGCGTGCTACACCACGTACCTCAACTTGAGCATGCAGTGCCAGTGCCGCGTCTGAGGCTGCTGCAGGAGTATGTAGTACCTGCAGGCCAACAAAGTCGTGCATGGAGAGCGCAGACAGAGCGAGTGACTGATCGCACGAGCCGCTGCCGCTACAGGCGGCGCACCGAGCCTCGCACCCATCAGCTGCTATGGCGCAGTTGGGAGCGCGTAAGACTGAAGATCTTAAGGTCACTGGTTCGATCCCGGTTGGCGGCAAACTTATTTCATATGAATGGTCATGTAGCGCCTTGTCTTTTTTTCTCTTGAATCATTGAGTGCACCGCATGGCGCATAGACCTACTGACATGTACTTATATTATATTCCACTTTTGGCTGTGGAAATGCCATGTTGTAGGTGTGTCGCCTTGTTCTCACGCTTGGATGTAGCATGCAAAGCTTGCACGCCACACCCCGCCCCCCACATCACCCCCAACAAAGCACCCGCAAGCGACTGTCCCCCACATACTAGCAGGGATACCAAACAAAGCTGCAAGACTCTCCCCCCACAGACAGACCCGTCTTAGGGCCACCCAGCTCCACGCAGACTCCATCTCAAAGTTTTCATGCAGGCCAAGGTCACCATAATGGGCCCTGAACTGGAGATTGTGGCTATCTACGTGAACCCCGATATCATAAAGATAAGCAGAGGGAGTCACTGGGCGCCATGTACTTTTTAATAATTCTCGCTCAGGGCGCGAAAAAGCCCAGATGATTGGCATCGAGCTGTAAGAATCTACATGTCGTATGACAGTCTGAAAGTGTCGCAACGACAACCACTCAAACGCCGCCGCCGCCATGTACTTTTTTGGTCTACATGTCGTATGACAGTCTGAAAGTGTCTCAACAACAACCACTCAAACGCCGCCGCCGCCAAATGGCATCTCGGGTTCCTCCCCTACGTCCTCCTCCATGTCCCCCCCCCCCCTGGATTCTGCCATGTGTGTCATGACACGGCCAGAGTACGCCATGTGGAGTGCCGCCGACAGTGCTGACCGTAAGCGCGCCAGGGCGATGCCCTTAAGAGCTTTAGGACGCGCTCTGACATCCTGCTGGCATACTCCGTCGCCACAGCCTCCATCCAGCAGCTTCCGCCCCTGCTCCCCGATGCTGCCGAATGACCCGCTTGCCAAAGTGGCAAGTTTGTAGCAATTTCTGATCATAATGACCAGAATAGTGGGTGCTTTTGGCGGCCTCTTGGTCGCGTCAGCAACGCTCGGGGTCTGCTGTAGTTTTCTGCGCCCGTGACGCCACCTGTGCCTCGAAGCAGGTGACGTCCACCATGAGCGGTAGGTGACGTGTTGGATCGTCGTAGCCGGTTACTGGGAAGGCGTCGCCAGGCAGCACGGTGTCCATCCTGCGACTCCCCGGCGGCCCGGCGGATCCCAGAAACGGCGTGTAGTCCTCAACCACCAGTCCCGTTTTGAGGTATTGCCGCAGGATGCGCTGCAGTGCGTGGCCCTCTTGACGTTATTGTGGACGATGGTGTTGTGCGCCTTGCCGCGTGGCGCTTGACACAGCCGCGCATGCAGAGTGCCGCCCGGCGACTTCTTGCACAGCTTGCAGCCTGTCGTGTGCTCCTCTACTCCGATGGCGCGTTTGACGGCCAGCTCAGCAGGCTGCCAGGATAGGCCATCGAACGAAGCCGTTGTGGAGTACATGGGCTCGTTGAGGAATGCCATGCCGATCGAGTGCATGTGGCGCTGCGACCGGAATCGAGCAAGTGCTTGCGTGCGTTGCGTGCCCTGCGGCAGCTGTTGCAGGTCCGCCTCCACTTTATCTGCAAGCTCGGTAGCGATGGCATCTGCAAGCGCACTCTCTGCAGAGCACTGACGTCAAGTACGCCGTGAGCAGCATCCGCACCGGTGCCACCACCTGCTGGCGGCGGCGGCTGCTGCATATGTGGCTGCTGCTGCAGTGGCGTTAGCGCTGGTGGCAGCATATGTTCCAGCTTGTCACCTGTTGCTGCACGCAGGGATGCGGCAGCTGTGGCAATTGTCCGCATGAGGGGCAGGTGCGCCACCTCTGCTGCTGCTGCGCCTTGTAGCATTGCTGGTGTGGAACGCGCAGCGCCTGCATTGACGGCTGCCGCTGCTGTGTGCGCTGGCGCTGCAGCTGCGCCGCCTGCCGATGCTGCTGCTGCCAGTGGTGTTGCTGCTGCCGCAGGTGTTGGAGCAGCATCTGCCGCATTGGCCGCTGCCACCGCCATTGCCGCTGTCGCAGCCGGCACAGTTGCGGCGCCGCCTGCCGCCGCTGCTCCTGTTGCAGGTGCTGCAGCAGCCCTTAGGCTAGTGGGGCCTGGAGCAGCTGTGTTGCCAATGGCCGCAGCAGCTGCACTTGATGCTGCAGCTAGTGATGCCGCCGAGGCCGCTTGAGGTGCAACATGTGCTGCCGCTGCTGCTGATGCTGGAGCAGCAGCGGCTGCCGCGGCTGCCGCCGCTGCTGCTGCCGCCGGAGTAGTTGCGCCGTGCGCCGCTGCTGCTGCTGTCGCTGGTGCCGCGGCTGTGCTGCCGCCGTGCACTGACAGTACTCCGGGGGTCGCACTGATGCTCACATGATGTCCGCGCTATAGTCATGCACATCCTGCTCTAACTCTAACCTTTACGCCAAGCCCTAACTTAAGTTAAACCCTACCTCCATCTGCTGTCACAAGTAGGATTAGCATTGGCCGCTGCTAGCTCACCTCTGACCCTGCACCGTGACCCTGAACAAGTTGAACTGTGAAAGCATGTGCAATAGACACAGCTCTTGTTGGTGCTAGGCAAATGTGTGGGACACCATGGCGCTTCGGGTATTATTCGCGCTGATTGTGACTGTCATGACTTTGTCGGCGCCGTACGCCACCATCGTGTGCGACGCACAACGGAAGCTGCAGCATGGCCTTGACACATGTGTCAGAAGCAGACATGATCGTCCAAAGCACAACCGGCCCGCAGCTTGTCTTCATGTGGCAGCATTACGCTGCAGTCAGTGCAGTCAGGGTGATCCCTCAGCACCATTTGTTGCGCCCCCCGTCTTCCAGCCTCTCCCCCAGGCTTGAACCCCCCCATAACAGCAGCCCAGTGGGGGTACAGTTTTTTGGGGGGAGCCAGCGTTCCGCGCTGAGCCTACGGACAGATTCAAATTAATGAATAAAGTAGCGAGAGGAGTGCTCACGGATTGCTCTTGGCCGCGACTGTCGCTTTGAAGGTTTGCATTCGCGGTCAGCGGGCAGGGCGAATTTAATCAACACTTATAAATTGGAGCTGTCGTCGGCAGTGGTAAGCAATTCACCGGCAGTGTGCGGTGGCACTATTAGCTTCAGCAGCGGCAGCGGTAGTACAAAGAGCAGCTCTGCAGCAGGTAGCAGAAGCGCCGCACCATCTATTTTGTACAGACCATCAGCAGGAACGACGCGGATACAAGCCTGCTACACAACATGAGCATGTCTTCACGCCACTGTCTCCGCGCAGCAGCGCATCCACCCTCTCGCAGTGGAACATCTCATCCAGTCTTCATTCGACACAGGCTCCAGCAAGGCCTGCGGTACTTGGTGCACTCGGTCCCAGCTACCACCGTGGTCGCGCGCTGCTCCCCGAAATCGACAGCGCCTTGGCCACATCAGCTCCAGCCGGCAGTAAGACACCGAGAGGAAGCATAAGTGTCAGCAAAACCGGCGGTAGAACCAGCATGTCACCCCCTTTCGCACGCAGCAGTACCGGCCCCCTGCAGCTGTCTTCGAGTGCCGGCGCGCAGCCGAGGCCCTCTTCGCTCAACTCCACGTATCCTCAGGGCCGAGGCAGCTTCAAAGGCACGCAGCCGTTCCGCACCAGTGTGTCGTACTCAGACGTGCTGCTGCCGCCGGACGCCTGGCAGGCGCAGCAGTGGCCGTCCAGAGCGCCGCGCGCGTCCGTGCACGCGCGCGCCGCGCTGCCGCCGCCGCAGCAGCAGCAGCAGCAGCAGCAGCAGCAGCAGCGTGAAGGTGCCGCCAACTGCGACGCAGACCAGGCCTCCGGCAGCGGCAGCAGCAGCAGCGAGCACGCTGCGTGCGTGGGCTGCTTGCTGCTCGATGCCGATGTGACGCGCCTGCACGCCGAGAATGAGCGGCTGGCGGCGCGCGTGCGGCAGCTGGAACGCGGCGCTGCGGCGGTGGCGGCGGCAGCAGCGGCGGATGACCATGACCTGGAGATGGCGTCTGCGGCGCAGCTGGACAGCGCGGGCGCGAGCCTCGCGGCAGCACTGCACGAAGAAGTTGAGCAGCTGAGGTAGGGGCTGCTGGCAGCCACACGGTTTGTTGCTGCGCAATGTTCCTCGGACACGCGTGCGGCAAACTGCGCAGGTACTGCCAGGGTGAACCCCTCAAACCCAGAGTGCTCGTTATGTTTGACTCTCGGGAGACTTCAACATGCAGCTGAAGGTGCCGAGTCTTGCAGTTCTGTCAAGTGTGCATTCATGCGCGTACTTCAAAGTACTTCGAAGTATACTCAAAGCACATTTTTTTGTGCAGGTCATGAGTAGATACTGTTGCATGTCACTTACAAGCAAGTCACTTACAAACAAGTAGATGAACATGTAACAGAGCCCAAATCACAGCACCCTCGCCAGGCACCCACAACCTTCCACAGACAACACGTCCTGCGAAAACCACGCTCTCGCGCACCTGCACCGGCCGCCGACACCCTTCAAACCCACGTGGTCAAACTTCTGCACGTGAACTTCCGCGTGTGACGTGCCCAGGTCCGAGCTCGCGGAGTTGTACGCCGCTCGCCAGGACCTCGAGCAGGGCCTGCGGGATGCGAGCACCGCGCTCGCCGCTGCCTCCGCGGCTCAGCAGGCGGTGTCCGCGGAGCTCGCTGCGGAGGCAGACCAGGACGCAGCGGCGGCGGCGGCGGCGGCGGCGTCGCTGCTGCCGCGCATGAAGCTCGATAGGTGAGGCCCCCGATTGGTGTCGTTGGAGGTGGTGAGAGTATTTGTGTTGAGTACATGCGAGGCGGAGGCGCGCGCTGCGGACGCGGAGAATGAGGCAGCGGCGGCGGCGGTGGCGGCGGCGGCGGCGGCGGCGCCGCCGCTGCAGCCGCGCATGAAGCTGGACAGGTGAGCCTTAGGCTGATCACTATCATTGGAGGTGGCGAGTGTTTGTAACGCGTACATGTGAGGCGGAGGCGCGCGAGGCGGCGGCGCTGCTGCCGCGCATGAAGCTGGACAGGTGAGCCTGCTCGTTGTTGTAGTCAGGTTGAGCT